ATCGAATAGAGATTATCCAAATATGTGCATGAACTCGGCATTCAGCCTAGCTTTCTATACAGCATGACCGGTCCTCTATTCCCGTAATCATATCACCATAAGTCTCGAAGCGAACCAAACAAGATAGAAATAATCACAGAACACTCTCGAAATAAGTCGTGAGAACATCTTCCTTCACCGGTCCCGCCACAGCTCTCAGCGCCTTGTGCGCCTCACACTCGTTATCATAGTACTCCATGTCCTCCAGCGAGGCAAAGGTCGTCTTCACAGAGATATTGAATCCCTTGTTACGAGGATCAGGGAACGACTCGCCAGCCGCCGCGCTGAGAATATACGGTTTCCCATCCTGTTCACAGGCATCCTGTCAATAGCCATTCAACTGTAGAGTCGAAAGAGACAAACCTTCACAGCTGTTTTCGCAAGAACCTTGTACTGCTCCAATATGCGGGCACGGTCTTCCGCCTTGGGGACGTTGAAAAGAGTGATGCGTTCGATGGGGGCCATTTTCGAGACTTGGTGCGTGTAATTTCGCAGAAGGTAGATATAGGCAGATCTCTTAAGGTAAAATAACGTAGAGAGGTACTTGAGATTGAAATAGAGAGGAGGGGAGGCTGATTCGAGTAGTCTCGTGCCACTCACTTTCCGCTACCGGATGGATATCATCGGGTATTTATATGGGCCTGGGGGATCTCCGCGGTGTGGGGTATTCGTGGGCTTTCGGGTTTCCTAATGATTGATATGATAGTTCTTGGAGACTCTATCTACGTGCTTTTTGGAATTGGATCTGATTTATTGTGCATGGCACTGTGTAGTACAGGCCCGACTGCCGATGAGTGAGCTGTTCGGCCGGATGTGTGAAGTAGGATCTACCCTCGGTTCAACAGCCACTTTAGCTACTCTGCAATACCTGTCTAAAACTGCGCAGTCCTGGGATGTTGAACACTACGAGAAGAGCAATTGATTCAGGTGTGCCCTACGTCGTGCCCTACGTCGTCATCTACCATTTCGCGCCTCTGAGTAGTGTGTCCATAGTTGTACACTTTGAGTTGACGATTCCGCTGATGAAGAAGAGGCGCGGAAATTCTCCGTTGCGAGCGCCATATTCCGCCCCGTTGTCTGATGAGCTTCGGCTAAGTGAATTACCACAAGTACCCACTCTTCTGCCACTCAACCTTCATCTGCATATTGGTCATCGTTCCTGACTACGGTGTTGGTCGAACTTGGTTTACGAATCGGAGAGTGAGATGTTGATTTGAGCTAGCCTAGTCTACAGAGATGACCCGGGCCGCCGGATACCACGAAGGAGTCTAAAGATTACCTCTTCGTGCTTGCTCACGTTCAAAAGCCTCGAACAGACTCTTGAAATTTCCAGCTCCAAAGCCGTCAAAGTTGTTGCGCTGGATGACTTCGATGAACACCGTGGGCCGGTCCAGCACATGTTTGGAAAAAATTTGAAGCAAATATCCCTTCTCGTCAAAGTCTACCAAAATATGAAGCTTTTCCAGAACGGCAATATCCTCTTCGAGTGTCAGTCCGGTGTGTGACAGTCGCTGACGCAGGTCCGAGTAGTATGCGCTGGGGACTTCAAGGAATGATACGCCTCGTTCTCTGAGTCGCGTGACAGCTGTGACAATGTCGTGTGTTCGGAAGGCAATGTGTTGGACGCCTGCGCCGTTGTAGTAGTTCACGAACCTGTCAGTTGGTCAGCCCAGACACTTGTTTACCAGGCGGTGCAGTAATGTCCTACTCCTCGATCTGTGACTTCTTTTTACCCTGAGCCGGCTCATTCATGGGCATCTTAATCACTTCGTTAGGCGAGGCGACGACGATCGACCGCATGGCGGAATATTCGCCACACATGTTTGAGTCATCTACAGTCCAGTACCGATGGAAGTTAAGGCAGTCTTCGTAGCTGAAACGATGATGGTCATGGTTAGCAACCTTCACCCTTAAGACAGCGCGGACACCTATACATACTACTTGACAATTGGATCGACACCGTTCCACGGCTGATTGCCAACGCAATGATCTATCTCGATGAAGTCGATCGATGGCAGCAACCGATTGATGGGATCGTCGTCTGGTACTGCTTCATAGCCTGGTAGAAAGGGGCCGGAGTAGTCGTGACGATTGATCAGCGAGTGCACTGTATCCTCATAGGTACCGATCGTGGCCAGGGTGATTGAACCATGCCGGTCATCCTTCAAGGTTGTCGGAGCCGCAACTGGAGCAGCTCCATGGTCTACTGCTCTTTTCCAAACAGCTTCGATATTGCCTTCAATTCGGAAAGCAACATCCTTGACGCCGTCGCCGTGCTTGATCAGATGGCTGTGAATTTCCTCCAACAATCTCCGATCTGCCTCGGTAACATCAGGATCATCATCATATCCGCCTGCCCCTGCCATGGAACGGATGGGAGAAGTGAGAACGAAGATAGCTTGACCGTTGGAGACGACATGCGATACGACGCTTTTAGAACCCGTTTCAGGACCGCGATAAGCGATTTGCTTGAATCCCATCCGGGTCACGTAGTAAGAGGCTGCCTGCTTCGCATTGCCCACATACCACGTAATATGGTCAAATCCCACATATTCGGGGCCTAGATTGGAAGCGAAGATGTTCTCCTCGACCTTTTTTGAGACTGTCATGGTTTTGACATGGGAAAGTCGAACTTATTTGCCTCAGGGGTAGCACAGGGAAAGAGAATGCAGGGGTGAAGCTTTCTCATGTTTTCGTAATCTTTATTGGCAGCAGAAGGTATTATTATTAGATGGTACCTCTCATATCATATCTATCGCTTCACCGACCCGGTCCCGGCCCTTCGTCACAAATTGTCAATAAACTTTCTGTGTTCCGTGACCCCTGCAACCAGCCAGCCAACCAGACTTGCCTCATGCTTAATAGTGCGACACTTTCTCAACAGTTTTGGAGGTGTCATTTTAGCCCTGACGTGGTATGACTGCAGACTTGGAGAATCCATCCTAGGTCAGATTTATTCATTGCTACCCTCGTCCGATTAATCTCATGGCATATGATCAGCTTCTGTAGAACAAACTTCCAATCTCTGGGTCGAATTTCGAGATGAGGTTGTTCTTCTTGAAGCAAGTTGGCCTTGTCATTGCCAACACTGGTTGTTGGGGGCCGGTAATAGCTCAAAACTAGGAGGCAGAACAGGTGAGACTCTATATCACCTGCTCTCGGTCTCGAGTAAGAAATCCGCGACATCCGCGCCTCCCGTATCGAAGCCTCTAATCTCTTAAGGCCACTCTGTAGGCCATAGCGACAGGATATCCCGACACTTCTCGGCTATCCTGGGACAGAACCAGTGTCCTTCGTAGCTCTCGAACACTGGCCCCGTACCACATTCACATTTTGCGCCACTCCAGTATATCCCATCAACTATCATTGACTGGCTCCGGCCGATTCTTGAAAAGCAGCTTGTACTTGATGATCTCCACAATCTCCAATTCCTCGCCCTCGGACTCGGCGATCCCGTTGTTGTCGTCGGGGCGCTTCTTACGCTTCTGCACCAACGCGAGTGGCTGCGCCAGCTTCTTCACTTCCCCCGTCATCCGCTGATACCGGCCAACGTATAGGTAGACTCGCTTCATCCATTTCATGTTGTCCAGTGACGTGGTTTGCGGCGAGTAGTCAGGGAACATGAGTTTGCCAATTGGTGTCTCGAACGCGGTTGTGGCAGCGTCGGGATCTTCGGCGTCGGCGGGGCGAGGAACCGCGCCCTGATCGTCGAGGGATGGGAGGTTAATTGTGCCTTGTAGTTCGAGGATTGCCAGGCCCGACGGTGTTTGTAAGATTTGGGGGAGTGGGTTGTGGGAGTGAAGGGGAGAGCTGGACGCGTGAGGATGGAGGGGTATCGACGGCATTTTGGCTTGAGAGATTTTGTGATAGTTCTTGGGGATTATATTCAATCAGAGAACAGTCTTCTGGGAATGACTTGACTTTTGGGCTTGACACAATATACGACAGGTAAATGAGGTGTAGGTCTTTTAGATTTGGAGAAAGGATTAGCGCGTTGCTCAGAATCAACTGGTCTTATCGCTTATCGATAAGCAGATATAATGTCCAGCACAATATTATCATTTCATGGAGGCATACTTAGAGACGTATACTGTCCTCTATCAGTCCACATAGCTATCTACTATATTTTTGAATGTTCAGATATCCCGTTTCCCGACTAGGTACGTTGACCAGTGGATACTGGTACGAGCACCAAAATTTATGGTATCCAAAGTTCATCAGCGAATCAACAGAAGTGCTGCACATGCCTCAAGTTGATGAAGCACATCAGTCCTTAGCCTGTTGTTTCTTAAGGACATAGACAAAGAGAGACGATCTAGTAATTGCCATATAGAGCCACTCAAGCGAGGGCACTATCATAAGTCATAAGTTGTGATGTGAATGAACACTGGATATTTGCTAGATAATATCTTCAAATTTCCGTGATTAGCGTGACCAGTGACGGATGATACCAACACATTCACGAAGTCCACTAGCGCAGTACAAGGTAGATTGTTAGAGTGTCTATAAAACAGAATCTTCTATGACACTCCTTCTGCATCTTGCCCATACCATCTTTCTCAGGTGCTTTTCTACACCGACAACACAAACATATCTGGCATTCAGAAAACTTTGCGCCTTGTACAAGAGCAGAACGGTTCTCTGCATTGCGATCGACCGAGACTCATATGTAAGTTCAAGAGAAATGAGAAGTCTGTATCTGTCGATCGTCTTGATTCCTCCTCTATCGAACGAGCTGAGACTGCTAAAAGAGCCCAAGCACGTTCCGTGTCTCTTGCACCAGGATATAACTGACTTTTCCTTACCAGACGCGAGCGATCTTAGTCCAGAGTACCCCACACGAAGCTGTTAGAGCTTCCTAAGGAAGTACGACAAAAGCCCTGCCATGTGACTGACTGCAAGTAGGCTAACAGTCGAACAAGGACGAAGGCCACACTGGTCAGACATATACAATCGCAAACATGTCATACATTTCTTCCAAGACATGGATCGCAGATATAATCAGGGAAGTTGACAGATTCGTGAGAATTTCGAAAGACTCTCTGATTATCGCGCCCGAGTCGCCAAATGTCCCTCAAGCCTACTGCGAATGGCGTGAACATCGGGTGTTCATCAATCAAAGAGCCCAGGAGTCAGAACCTCAACGCCGCACACTTAGAGCCTCACAGCGAGCCGGGCAGGCGAAAACCTCAATCCAGCCATTCGGTGGCAAGACGTTCAAAGACGCTCGATCTTCCGTGCTGGCAATGGAGACGATATGGCTGCCTTCTACGAGCTTCCATCTTGAACGGCCTCTTGCTCCCTGGCCATGCAGCAACGAGCTCACGAGCGACGGTACCATGAGAAGTATGTCCGGATATTCCCGTTTCCCTCCCCTGCCTAGGGTACCGGGCAACGAGACCGTTCATTGGAGAAAAAGAGTCCCAATAAAGCCGTACCCGTTCGATACTTTTGGAATGCCCAGTCTAGGACGCATCGCGGGCGCGCCAGATACCGAAGAAGAGATGGCATTCTTCGTTGGTCAGGCCTTGCTCGAGGAGATCAATACTGACGAATTCTAACCCGGCCCTGGCTGGACGGATGATTCTGGACCGCAGCAGGTTTTATGAGAACAAGATATGTGGATGCGGCGAGGATTCTCTTTGGTTTCTCAGTGTTTTAAGGTGGTCCTGAAACTTGAGTGCACCTCGGTGACTGTGATAGACAGTTCTTTTTCTTTGGTCAGATATCGGACTACTTGACGTAGAAAGGCCGTCCAAATTCCGAATGTTGATCTTGTTTCCCGAACGAACGGCCCGCAAGAGTGTATTGAGAGCCTTCTGTGGATAATGTGCGAAGGTCATCCCCAGAAAAACACCTGAATCGTTTGAGGTATACCGGTAAGCTCCGGAGGACAACAATATGTTAGCAGCCATCGCGTGGTTTGCGAGATGCTTGGCACGCTGCGGTCTTCGAGAATGCTGTATCTCCAGGAAATACTACGGCGGGAGAAGGGATGGAGCGTTCCGTTATAGAAGATTGGATGCTCGTAGCAGCATTCACTGCGATGTCTTACGGTAGCAGGCTTGCTCGAGATGCTCGAGACCGTCTATAGCGTCCTTTACCATCTCTTCCCCAGATGACCCTGCAGGCCCTTGCATTTTGCCGTAACGCAAATCACTCAGCTCGCCAACTGTGGCGCTGAGTCCGGACAACACAGTTGCTGCCTCTTGGTCCACATGGGAAATCTCGTGCTCGATATTTAAGCATGCCGTCTCCATTGCGGACAAAAGGCTGGAAATGGAGTGGTAATCACTGGAAGCAGCATTAATCCCCTGACCAAAGAGCTGGACATCCATGTCCATCTCCCGGCGGTCATTCTCCTCCATGCCGTCAACGCCGGTCTTCATGATTGCTTTTCGAAGTTCGGCCTTTTGGGTCTCTGCTTGACGGACTTCCTTGTCAATATTCTCATTGACCGTGTCCATGTCTTGCTCTCGCAATTGCTGGAGCTCCCGGTAAAGGACTCGGATATGAGGATGAGCCCGCAGTTTCTTCGGAAAAAGTTCTGTGAATTGTTGCAAGGAAATGATAGTTGGCAATGAAGCAGGAGAAAGCAGAAAATTGCTCAGAATGGATGCCTCAGATGGTGCCATACTGGATGTGATGGGAAGACAATAATAGTGGCGATGAGACTTCTCTTCCTTCCTTTGCGTGTTTAGGGCCGGAAATGTATTCAGACTCGTCTAGTCTATTTTGCTAGTCTCCGACAATTATATTCCTGTCTTCTGTGTTGGTCTCTGACTCCAGCACAATAGGATGCTTGGCGAATAGGATGGTGGAGCCAAGACGCGTCTTCAGATTGATGAGAAAATTCCTGAATAACGCTTGGTAGATAACTATAGAGATCCAAAGAGATGAAAACTTATGGTGAATTCACAGTAAGGATGATGACTATTGTGCGACAAGCAACAATCACCTTAAAGCATGGTTGTTCAAGAGGAAAGGAACGCCGGAGAGAAAGATAGACGCGTGCAACTCTAAAAAGTTCCGTCCATTTCTGGGTTCCGCTTCATTCTTACCTTCCAACCCCAACGACTCTCTGTCTTCGTTCAAACCGTCATCGAGATCTCAACCACGAGTCGGTCAGAAGCATCTATCTTCTTCATAGCAGCATAGATCGAATACTTGCTTGATCTGACCCTGTCGTATCTCCCGAGGAGGTGTTCGACTTTGTACATCTGGCTTCCGTGGCTACTGAAACCTTCGCGTCTAACGAGGAGAACTATTTGATAAACGGAGCTGATATCTTCGTATCGTGATTCCAATCATTCTTCTACAAAGATCAAGTCTATTGCCTTCGTCCGCGTCTCATTGACACAATTACTGCGGCCAGTATTTGCTGATATCCCTGCTTGTGTTGCACGTGCTTCTGCGGATTCAAAGACCTATTTAGGCTGGCCAGCAACATCCTCCTTGGTGTTTCATCATTCTCATTCTTCTGTGAAGCTCGTGTTGGTGGTTAAAGTAATACTACCAAGTTCTCCTCGTCCGCTCCGAAAGAAGCAGACAACCTTTGATCATATCTCATCTATCCCGCCACGTTCAAAATGGCGCCAGCAAGCCAATCTACTTATCAAAAAGACGAAAGAGTCCTCTGCTTTCATCATGAGATTCTATATGAGGCAAAGATCCTCGACGTTAGGCACACCGATGCCGAAGACAAGAAAAGTCCGTTCGAGTACCTCGTTCACTACAAGGGGTGGAAGAACACGTAAGTACGATTCTGTTTTCGCTTTCTTATGTTGCGGGTGACGGGTCTCCTACGTTCATGCTGCTCTGTTGACCTGAGATTTGCGATCTTACCGCATGCCTTGAGCCACCTCTGTCTCAATCAAGGTGCTAAATGCACTTGTTTGAGTACGTTGATGGAACTCTCGAATCGCAAGACTTGGTACGTTGAATGGCTGTAGCTGACTTGATCCACGCAGATGGGACGACTGGGTGCCTCAAGATCGACTCCGGAAATTTACGGATGAGAATAGGGAGCTCGCTACGACGCTCCGTCGTGAGGCAGAGGCTGCTTTTCGTCAGAAGAGCACAAAGACTACGTTGAAGAGAAAAGCAGGCTCCGATCGCGGCTCCGCCCGGGACAGCGAGGAGCGACAAACATCAGTTCCTGGTCGCGCGACCAAGCGGGCCAGAGACAATGAAATTGAAAAGGTAAGCAAAGTCTCTCCACAGTGCAGGCTGCTGGGACGTGCCCGCTATGTCCTTGAGAGACTGCAAGTCTCTTTGCTCTGTCCACACGATACTCACGATATGGCTACAGGAAGAACATTTCTATACACGGCCATCCGTGAGGATTGTAATGCCGGACAATTTGAAATCCCTTCTCGTAGATGACTGGGAAAATGTGACGAAAAATCAGCAGGTTGTTGCTTTGCCGGCCAAAGCATCAGTCAACCAGATCTTGGAAGATTTTATAGCGGAAGAGAAGCCCAAGCGCACGAGCTCGGCTGACCTGGATGTCCTCGAAGAAGTCATCATGGGTATCAAGGAGTATTTCGACAAAGCCCTTGACAAGATTCTACTCTACCGTTTCGAGCGCGAGCAGTACAAAGCCCTCCGCAAGAAGTGGGAGGCGGGATCCGGTGAATATTCGGAGAAGGGGCCCCTTGATATCTACGGGGCCGAGCATTTGACGAGACTTTTTGGTATGCTTCTTGATAGTTTGTTTTCGGAAGACCACTTACTTATTTATTCGTCCAGCAACTATGCCGGAGCTCATTGCGCAGACAAACATGGATCTCCAGTCCACGAACAGACTCCGGGAGGAGTTGTCGAAATTCACGCTCTGGCTCAGCAAGAACTCAGACAAATATTTCGCCACGAGATACATGACTGCAACAAATGAGTACGTGGAAAAGTCAAGGGGTAACCCCAGTTCGGCAGCTGCAGCTGCCACGACGCGGCTCGTCTGAGCATGATGGGGTGGCTGGTGTCGCTGAGGTATTTGTATACGAATGACATCCGCCTGTCCTCGACCTTTGTTTGCGGTGTGTTTTGGTTAATGTGGTGCTCATTTGCAGCGAAAGATAGCAATCAGCAATGCACACCATGGTTTACCGTGTCTGCACTTGTATTATTAGATCTAGAATTGGCCACTTTTATCACGAATCCTCAAGAAAGACACAGCTTCATCACAACATGCATTCTGGAGTCCTAGGCATACAAGTCAGGACCCAGTCCTCATTCATCGATTCTAGCCCTATAACTATACAGGATGATATAGTTTCAAAAATGAACAACCAACTCAGCGATAATTACAGCCACGTAGGTTCTTGCGGGGAATCGCAAGCATGCTCCGAGCTGAGGTTGTATAGAGGAATTTCTACGCAACCAATTGCCGGGCATCCTCCACGGCGCATCTGGCCGCCCGCTTCAATTCTGTCTTCCAGTCCGCCTCACGCCATCTCGTCCACGCACTCAGCCCCTCAGGAGGCTGAATACTCAACGTGTCGTAGCCCTGCTTGATGATCCTATGAACCTCCCGGGGCGAAAGATTCTTCTTCCGGTTAGCCGGGATCGGCACAGGATTCGAAGCTTCACCACCGGGTTTCAAGCTCGCGTCGACGTTCCTGTCTGGGTTGAAAAGCAAAGTGTAGAAGTGGGTCGAGACGGAGATCAGGGTGTCGATGGCAGCGACGTGGATGTCCTTGCTGGCAATTGTTGTGGGGTCGGGAATCTTCGAGGCTGACGGAGTTGGGGGCTTGAGGGAGTAGACGTCTCGAAATCGGGTGATGATGGGACCCGTTTCGACGAGTTTGTAGAACAAGTCGTCATAAGATGCCGGATCTGGGAGAAAGGTGTCACCTGCGGAGACGCAAAATGCCACCAGGTCTACAAGGGAGGTGGTGAGAGTGGCGATGTTGGGAGATGTTGACAGGTCCGACGCGTACGTAGTAAGGAACCGCATCAGGGAGAGCAGAGTCTTCCAGAGCTCCGACCAGTGGTATGTCAAACGGATTTTGTTCATCGATAAGTAGGTTAGAAGCCGAAGAAGGATGGCGATTGAATGACTTGAACGACGGGGGAAGATTAGTCCAAGCCCCCTGTTAGATACAACAAAGAGGGGAGAGAATTTACCTGTATATGTTGGCATCAAGGCGCCGCCGGAGATTATGGGAAATTGTATCAATCATAATGTCGAAGATAACAGTTGCGAGAACCCTGTCCCCTGTGACGAGCGGGAGATACGGCTGCCTTTGCCGGCAAAGGCGCACTTTTCTTTTCTCCCCGTCGCTGCAAAGCTGTTTACACAAGGCTGAATCTTCAGAAAGGATGCGAAGAGTGAAGAGGTTGAGCTCCGCATAGTGTGCAACACGAGGGGATCTGTAAGCGTGCTGCAACAGGTAGCTCGTAACAGAGAGAAAGCTCGCAAAGGGAGACTCCTCGCTGTCTTTCTCTGGCAAAGAGTTAATGAGGTGATAACCAAAGAGCTTATTTGCATTTGCAAAGTCATAGGTGGCTAGAAGAATGGCGGCTTCCTGAGACGGCCTGATTCCAGTTAGCCAACGGGGAAAATGTAAACGAAGGAGTACCCAAAGCGATCTTACAGAGTTGCAAACATCTCCTTCGCTTCCTCAGCCGTTGGCGCCTGAGTTTTATTCCTCGTGCCTGGAGCAAGTCTTCCGAGTCCGAAGAAGACCAGAGTGCTGCTGAGTGTCCAGCCCTCAGGTGCATCGTCCTGTACAGCAATATAGCCGTTCCTCAAGGCGGCGCACGAAAGACCGACACCTTTGACGATCTTTTGAATGCTTGACTCGTTGACAAAATCGTCGAGGCGCAATTGATATGGGTTCTGAAACTCGAACTTATTGTAGTTCGCTAATAAACCGAGAAGGAGGAACGGCTCAAATATTTGAATAGGGGTATCGGATTCGTGCACAAACTTCGCGGAGTGTCAGCAGACGCTCTCGAATGCAGCAACCAGAGCTATTACGGCTTAGCACGTTCATACCTTCATGAGGGAGGGGAACAGATCCCTATGGGTAAAGTACGAGACGAGACTCGTCTTATATGCGCCACTGGTAAGAGCAATGGCTACCCGGATCGCTTTAATCCGAATATCAACTGCACGCTCATTAGCGGCCATAATTCGGTCGACTAGGCAGCCGCTTCTGATTGGGTACTCACAACTGCTCCCATTGCGAATAATACCATCCAGAACGGCGACAAGGTTCGAGATAACATGGTCGACCTCATCAAGCCCGGCAAGGACAGTGATAACGTCGGAGCTGGGATTGGTATACTTCTTCTTCAGCACACATGCTAAGAAGACCGTCAAGGTCTGGCTAAGGCATTAGAGCTTGAAGTGTAACTTCCCGATCTGAAAGCTTACCTCTAACGCATAAGCGTTCACTGGGCTAACTCCAGAGTTGGCCTCCTTTATTGCACGCGCAAATAGGTGCTGAGTTTGAGCCTGGTACAGAGTCAGCAAGCAATATCAGGTTGGAATTTCCCATAGATTTGACGAAATACCTGTAAGTGAAGAGTATCTTCTGGACCGAGCCTATCTAGAATTAATGCAAGCTGGGCTCGATCAGGCGGCAACAAAAAGAACTCTCGCCAGAAACCTTCGGATGGTTCTGCAAAATCTGACGTCTATGGGTAAAATAATTAGCATGAGATGCAGAATTTGTAAATGAATCACATACTTGAAAGAGATCTTCATATAGTTGCACGATTTTAGGCTTGAAAGTCTCCGGTCTACTTTGCTGTGTTAAGGGGGATTCCATGATGTTATACACGAGACTCCAAAAAACGTAGAACCATTGCAGCAATACTGGGGAATCAAGTACAAGTTAGGAACTGCAATACAAAAGACGATAGAAAGATTTTGAATATATGAATATCCAATGTATCATAAGTACAAGTGAGTACAAGTGTCGAGCATAATAATAGTTCTCTCCAGCCATTTCTGCCTCTTTGGGCCAGAACGCACTAGCCACATAAGCACTTGCGTTGTCAGCAATAAGCCACATTTCATTGAATTTCCTTATTGAGGAGAGTCAACGATATCCATCCCTTGAAGATCAGATGCTTTACCTCTTAAGGATACTGTAAAAGCTTGAGTGACTCTACTTCCATGAATTTGAAATATTAATGCTGTCAAAAAACTTGACCCTTGGTATTTGTATGACTTCAGTTGTGTTTAAGGATGTTCACAGGATGTGGAAGTATTAATAGGCAGAGAGGAACTCCCAAACTAAGCATGATATAGATCACTTGAGATAACAATCCTACTGGACAAGTTAATTTACCCTTGGTCTCTCAATATTGAAGTCGTAAAGAAATGATATGAGGGTTTTACTAAGAGGCTCGACTGCCATCACATGATTTGTAGTGGCGCCACCTCCAGAGTGCAGTGTGAATGACATTCCAGGGCGGGATGCGTAGAAACACCTCAACGCTGATTGGCTGGTTGACTCATTGCCCATGAACTCTTTGCCGAACCGCCGACTCTCTTCCGCCTACAAAACAGAATCTCGTCTCCCAAAGTACCCATTTCTCCATATTTGATGACAATTCCTCTCCCTGCAAGCAGCAAATCCATCGCAGATACAAAACCGTCTACCTTCTATTTCTTGTTATTATAGATCGCAGTCGTCTCCTTTATACACATAGATTTGATCTATCATGTCGTTTTACAGGGTTACTGTGCATCCTTCGGTGACATCATCCGCCACGATGTTGAGATGCGCGAGCAGACCATTCAATACACAATGCGCACAAGCGCTCAGGAGTTTCTCCTCATTTGGAAATACATACCGGTCATCAAAGCGTGATATGCAAACAGCTACTGCCTACCGACCCCATACCTTACCGTCTGTTTTCCCTCCTCCGTCCCGAAACGCCGGCACCCCAGACACGTCTATCGCAGCGGAATTCCCACCGACTCCTGATACGACGGTCCAAAAACAAGGACAGAGTGAAGGCTATTCTAACGTGAGTCTGCGGGAAGGGGAAGCGCAGAGGTCGAAACCTGTTACAACCGCACCAACCACAAGCTCGACACATGCGGAAAAGCCCCGAAGAAAATTACGGGCAAGAAAGGCAGCCATGAAGTTGACGCCGCTCGCGGTTGAGCAACTCCGTAAGCTCCTGTCACAGCCAGACCCCAAATTTATTCGAGTGGGTGTGAAGAATCGGGGATGTTCTGGGCTCGCCTACCATCTCGAATACGTTGAAAAACCTGGAGCTTTCGACGAAGTGGTTGAACAGGACGGAGTGAAAGTTCTAATTGATAGCAAGGCTCTGTTCAGCATAATTGGTAGCGAAATGGATTGGCAAGAGGACAAGCTGAGCCGAAAGTTTGTCTTCCGAAACCCCAATATTAGTAAGTCCCCCTCATTTTTACACATCTTTACCGCGATACAGTTCGTCTAATGTTGAAACCACAGAGGAGCAATGCGGATGCGGCGAATCCTTCATGGTCTAGAACATCATTTCTTGTAATGTTCGCTTTTGCTATTGGGTTAATTGGGAGTTCATTCAGGTGCATTTGACGGCGTTATTGCGGCTTGCTCACGATTTCCACCTACGTCTTATCTCTGGGCTTACGGCTTTCTTTTCCGACGTTACATGCGCCAGCAACATGATGTTGATAGTCGGCCCAGCTGTGCTTCTTGCAAGGACAGCATTTAGCAGGCAAGACTGGAGCTTTTCCTATCTGGCATGCGATGTAGTCTTCTTTAGCAGAGCAGTTTTCCGATCTGACGCTCGAGATGCATTCGGGCAGAGGTTACAGGGACCTGTTGAACTTCAACCAGACTGTACATATACCTTAAGGATTATAATGAAACTATATATTATGATTATTGTCTCCCGTCTCCTGTCTCCTGGCTTTTATTGTTCTTTCTCCCCAAGCGGATATCTGTATATCACGTGAGGTCTCGGAAAGCGGAAATCTGCCGGTAGTCGTCATTTCAATCCGTCTCTGTTTGGCAGTATGCAGTCACTATGTAATGAAGCAACGCGAACGATGGATGGTAGACCGTAACCACAATGTTTCTTCAGACTTGCTAGGCTGACTTTTAATCGGTCGGTGCTTTGAATTCTAAATATCCAAGAGTCAAGATATGACTTCCCCCGCATTTCTAACCCCAGATCCTACATGGGACGGGGACTCTGCAGATGGGCCTCTTCTCCTGACTGTCCGATTCTCTGCCTCGATTCCCGACTTTCCTCTTGACATCGAGAATCCTGATGTTACCACGGCTGCCGGCTTGAAGCAATTAATCCGAACACACCTTCCACCGAACCTCTCATCACATCGCCTCCGTTTGATCTACGCTGGTCGTGGTCTGGAAGATGCCACCCCACTGAGTGTTTCTTTAAAGCTCCCACCTTCGCCTTCTAGAACTCCCGTCGTACAAGACGATGCTACCACTGTCAAGGGAAAGGGGAAAGCGCCCATCCGGGAGCAGCCCCGGCTCTACATTCATTGCTCAATAGGCGATATTGTTCTATCCGACGCCGATCTAGCGGCTGAGGCAGCAATAGCTACCACACTCCAGCAAGAGCAGACGGACGAGGCTTATACAGGTAGACAAAAGCAGCAACAGCAGCAGCAGCAACCTCCGCCGTCCACTACGTCTGCCCCCCGCGGTTTTGATCGGCTGTTATCGGCGGGATTCACCCCTTCCGAGGTGTCGGCGCTGCGATCGCAGTTTATGGCGATTCAGTCTGTATCGCGGACGCCTGATACTATGCCGACTGGGGCGGAGCTGCGCGAGCTCGAAGACCGGTGGATGGATGAGGGATCGTCCGCCATGGCAGCGGGCGTGGGAGGCGGAGGTGAAGGCATTTCCTTTGCGGATGATGATGGCGGCTTTGGGGCTGGCTCCCGAGGCGCCATGGACGACATGCTTTGGGGCGCGGTGATGGGGTTCTTCTGGCCCGTGGGCTGTGCCATGTGGTTGAGGAGGGAGGAGGGTGTATGGAGTTGGCGGAAGGGTTTGGCCGTCTTCGTCGGCGTTGTCATCAATGTTGCATTTGGCGCTATGCGCATTATGAATTAGACGGCATACTTTGGGCTAGAAGCTGACTTTCTTTGGTGCTAATTTCTTGCTACCAATGATACCCTTATGCTGAAGGAACGCACCAAGCGACCGACTGAGCGACCACTGGGTAAGGAAGTAATATGTTTGACGAGTATTAATGTCTGACGGATGCTATCATACAACGATTCATGTAGGAGTGCCCGCGCAAACAAACACGAATAAGTCATGAGAGGATAATATGGAAGAGGAAATCGTATCTACACCTGTCCAGAACCCGACGCTAATGGAACTTGCTATAAATGACAGCAAAAATCAACAGGACTAAAACAGTAATGATCGCAATCGTGATTATCCGATTCGTAGCCATCCTGTGAAAAAGAAGATGTTCGAGTCAGCAACTTGAGACCAGAAGGCGTGGATCACAAGGAGAGTCATTACCTACGGGCCATGCCCCTTAGAGTCTTGATGCTCGTATCTACATATCCTTCACTCTGCTGCAGCCCCGCTCGCGCATGCTCGATGGTCTGCCGTTGCTGGTAGAGATCAGCTAATGTATTGCGGCCGATATCCTCCGTTTCGAGTGCAATCCGCTGGCTCTCCTGTAGACGGGCAGAGCTCCGTTCCAAACGCTCGGTGCCGGAGAGAAGTTGCTGCCTCTGCTCCAGATGCTCATCTTGTGGTTCGTCCGTGTAGCGGTCGCCAAAGAGCGCCCTGCGATCGTCGGAGAGCGATTTGAGCTTCCGCTTGGCTTCGTCAACGTCGGTGGCATAGTTCCGAAAACGAATGTTAACTTTTGAACGTGCTGCTGAGGGGATGTTCTGCTTCTCCATGCGCATTTGATCTAGCTGTACGTATTCAAAGAGATGTTAAGACGGAATGTAGAGACGGCAATCCAGGAAGCGTGACGAACCAACTCATTGGCCTCATCTAAGGCTCGTTCAGCCATTCTTATTGCTGATTTCCGTTGCTCACCACTTGATTCCGCTATCTGGTCCAGCTTCTGGTTCAGATCGGCCTGTACCAGCTTCAGCTCCGTCTCATAACTGCTGAACAGCTCAGAGCCGGCATCGGTGTCTAGCGGGTTCGACATTGTCTTCGTGAATCGTCGAGAACAAAAAACTAAAGGCAGGAAAATGCGAGAAGAGTATGGCTGAAACGGTCTCTGCGCGACGGGCGAACAGGTGTCGCTGATAAGCGGACTGTGATGGACCTCTTCCGCCCTATCTTCGTGGCGGGTCTCCCTAACGGCCGGACTTGTCTCCCAGGCGGAAACGTTTTGAAATTTGGTAAGAAGTTGACACTTGATTTGCAGCTAACACCTCAATAAATTGATATAGCGATCGATCAACAACTTATAGAGTGAATCAACGACGAACGAGAAAGAAAGAAGAGGCCGGACGATGGCAACTGCAATGACAATCGTTCATTGTTCGGTGATTAACCTCATTCCAGCCATCCACGAACACGTGACAACCGGCCGAGGGTGAAGTGTCAAGAGGTAAAATAGAACAATCTATATCTTCTACTCACTTACTCCATTACTACTGTTACTCAGAGGGCAAATACTGAGCAAGCAGTATGATTATAACGCAATCATACCTACTCGTACCCCTAGCATGGGCCCGGTTCATTGGATCCGCAAAACACTTATGTGTTTCCATTCCCGTAGATGAACGTCATAGCATTTCCCCAGACTATCGAGGTACCTCTATCTTACCTCTCTCTTAAATCCCGTCAACTCATTGCCCTCTTCTGAGTTCGTCACTCCTGATAGCTTTTGACACAATATTCGAGATCACTCTCGGACCATCACCTTCATTGGTAGTCATTGGTTGAGTCTCAAGTTGCCGTCATCTGATGTGGTCACACTTAAACTCGCTGGGAACAAAAGTGGAGGCTAACCGCCTCTCATAACCTGTCGGCTGTTATCATCAACATCAGTCTCCAGATTCAATCTGCGTACGGCTGGATTTCTGCTCTCATATCCGCTGACGTACTTTCACGAAGGGAAACGAGGCGCGCGGATGATCTGGAAATGAGTAAGAAATCGGTATCCGAGGCTCTACCGCTCTCTCTTGGGTAGCACCTGAGTGCGCACATTGTCCAGGCCCTAGTACGGGTTGAATCGCTTTTCTGCGGCTTTGTGATGAAACAAGCGCCTTCAGTCTTAGGTCCAAGTCATTACCATCTTGCCTTTATTCGCTGGGGCGAGCACTTCTGTTTTCGACCCCGATGCGATGATACTGCTCCATCGCCCCAGATCGGACAGATCGCGTCATGTCTCCCACGCAGCCTAAACGTGTCGCTATTGTTGGAGGCGGATGCGCTGGGGTCACCGCGTTTTGGGCTTTACAGAAGTCCCCGCATGATGTCCATCTTTTCGAGGCCTCTGCAACGCTTGGTGGGCGTATCAAGACAGTACCATTTGAACACGCAGGAAATAAAGTCACCGTGAACACAGTGCCACCAGTATTCAACGCAACTGCTTCTCGTCAGTGCCTTCTGCGATGGAATCGGCATCGAGACTAATACCACTCTAGCCAACCTTGTTTCACTGCTTCGCTATCTAGGAATTTCCACATCCGCAGCGGAGCTCTCCTTTGGAGCAACCGATGGTATTGGGGCTGATCAATGGACTGGAAGTATACTTGGGGACATTGTGCGTCGCCCATGGCTTGTGTGCAAACCTGGAACATGGCGGATGTGGTTCGATATTGCACGACTACGATATACGTGTCTAGACCTACTGGTCGACGGTCACCAGCGGAGTGAGCTCCTTGCCCAGCACGAAACCGTGATGCGACATTATTTCGCAAGTGAGGAATATTTAAACACATTCTATGCGAAGTACTTGACGTCAATGTTATCGGCTTTGTGGGGAATCAATGCTGGCAGAATTATAGACCTGTTGCCAGTCAAAGCATTCGTCCGCTGCCTATTGGACCATAGTATTATCTGTCCACGACCAAAGAGGCTGGATTGGCAACGCATTAATGATGGAGTCAGGCAGTTGATCCTGGTAATGGCAAGGGCTTTCCCGTCTCATAGAGTACATGTCAAGACCCGAGTGACAGGTATATCTCAGTCGACAAAGGAGCGTTTTGTGCTTATTACCTCTGATGGACAAAAGGCGCATTTTGACCACCTTATTTTTGCCATTTCTGCCAATGAAATCCAGCACATTTTGGGTACAACTCCTACTACCGAGGAGACTGAGATCTTACAAAAATTGCGAACAGCAAGACATATCATGGTTTTGCATTCAGATCCATTTGTTAGTAATGTCAGCTTCTCAATCTCTCTGTAATATGCCAGAGCCTCTCCATATTACAGAGTACTCACAAACTTCCCAGTTCACAACGGATTTCGACCAGTCATGGCCTGCTAGTAGTTTCATAGTAACTTCCTGGGACAGAAGCAATAAGAACCGTCCGGGAGACCCTTCCGACAACATAACCCCCCGGACATGCCTCACCTGCGTCATGAATGAGGGGCAGAATATTCCAATACAGCACTTCGGCCCAGTCCTCATCACACTGGATCCATTCGCTCCGCCACATCCTCTCCTTGTCGCAGGAGTGTGGGAGTTCACTGATCTTGGGATCAGCACCGACACGCTCCAGGCTCTAAGCTCTCTTCCTGCCATTCAGAACAAACGAGGGCTCAGCTTCTGCTTCTCATGGACGGGCCGTGGGTTTCTCGAGGACGCGGTTACCTCTGGCCTCACGGTTGCCGTTGAACATCTCGGTGCGAAAGTACCCTTTGCCTTTGAGCATCATCCGGACCTCTCGGATGCGACCGAGCTACCACAGTTGCATTTAAGTCTGGCAGATCATCTCATTCAGACACTACTCAGTCTACTGCGTGTCTACGTCCTTGTCATTGAGATTTCACTCATCCTACTGTGTGCATTGCGAGACTCACTGAAGAATAAAATTTGCCTACCGAGAAAGTGAAGGGTCTTTTGTTTTTGTCGAGCTTGGATAGATACAACCCAGAGAAACACAGCTAGGCTATCTCCTGAACGATTACTGTTTGACACCAAAGAGCTTTTGGAGCCAAAGTATCCTTTCCATTACGTGACATAAGATAAGAATTTGCATATCAGACATAGCATACATCTTTGCGTGGTTTTGTAACTCCCTCAACCAACAGAAACCCCATTAAATTAAGCGCATTACTTCATGAAAGGAACTTCTCACTGTCCTGGCTAACAATGGCGGCACTTCTCTTCGCATCAAGGAAGAGATCCTCGCACTCTGCAACATCCGCCTCCTCAATGCCTCCTGGTCGTCCATTCACGCGCGCGAGGATGCTAGCAGGGGTGAGCAGTTGTAGAGCATACCGCAAGCTGACCTTGCTGCCATGCTCGGCGACCTTGTCGAGGGCAGGATCGGTGATATTGAGGCCTTCCGTCTTAGCGCGCAACCGGATGATGGTCTTGATCTCGTCGGGGGTGTAAGGATGCGTTGGGATAATGAGGAGACGGGCAAGCAGATCTGGGGGAATTCCATGCGCAGCAGTGACATCATCTGTGCCACGAATAACAGTGTGACCCCTGTTGGATGCGAGAATGACGATAGGGGAGATGCTAGACTCGAGAGCGCGGTTGAGATAAGTGAAGCATTCGATGTCAAGCATGTGAACCTGAGGCCGAGTCAGCACACCTAGACTGCGATAGGAAAAGGAGCTCGAAATACCTCATCAATGAAGAGCACGCCAGGAACAAGTTCAGCAACACCCTGATCGATATAGCGGTTGACCACTTTGTTGATCTCCTGGCGCAGCTTGTCCGTGATTTCTGTTTTCTTCGGCTTCATGAGCTGACCCATCATACTCATGACGTCCTGTCCACCCTGTGGCCGTGCGTTGGCCATGTCCAAGTCATGAAGCGTCACATCTTGCACAATTTCCTTCTTCTTGTGTACCTCTCCCTTCGGTACAGGAACGTACTCTTCCGCCTCAAGATCGAACTCGGTCGCATATGCATCGGACCGTCCAACTCTCTTGCAAGCTCCAGTGTTCGCTTCGATATAGATGACATCTCCAACGGTCACACGCTCTTTTTGAATTGCCTCGTAAATGCTAGGGTCAAGACGCAGCTTCTTGGTTCCTTTGGCCGACTTCAATCCGATAATCAAATGGCTGATGGTACGTCCGTAGCCGCCAAGGGGGTTCTCGGTTTCCTCAGGCGTGAGTTCTGTGACTTCTCCTTCGTACACCTCTTTCGTCTCGCGCACTCTTAAACCTGAAATCTTGTTAATCGCAATCCCAACCTGAAAGACGCGACGGAAACAGCATACCAATCGCCCTGCGAAAGTTTTCCATAAGTGCCTCGGTCTTCTTGACCTCAGCAGAGTAAATTTCGCTGCCAACAATGGGGCAGAACGGGACCTTGGTTCCCAGTTCCTGTGACACAGCCAGAGCAAGGGCCGTTTTTCCAGTTCCCGGTCCACCTGCAAGCATAATTGCGCGTCCAGCCATTTTCTTCGCCTTGATCAAATCCACGACGACACCGCACGCCTGTCAGAGAAACATGCTAGTTAGCCCAAGCTCATCTTACAAGACGAAGAAAAAATTGAATGCTGCGCACCTCGCGGGCTGCTGCCTGACCCACGAAGCCATCGGCAGAGGTCTCCGCAGTCCCATCCGGACGTAACCCAAGGCCTTTGATATGAGTGTGTGCTGCTGTTCTGTTCTCGCGCGAACTGCCCTTCACTTCACTGATCTGAACCATGGCGAAGTATTGCGGCCTGGCGTGGAAGCTGAAAGGTAACTCTCTAGATGAAACGAGGAGACTTTCAACTGTGATCAGGTATTAGAAATAGTTGTGAAGGAGGGTCATGCAAAGGAAAACCAGCAGTAAGGAAATTAACGCTTTAATATCCAGCGAGGTGATGCTTCTGGCCGAAATTCAAGCGCGCAGCTCAAAGGGATCGAGCAATGATAGCGGTGCGTTGCCAAGGCGGTCAGCACCCCAAAGAATCCGCCCAAATTCTTTCCGTCTAGCAGACTTCCCAATCATTTTACGAGCGGACGGTGCTCTATCTGGCTACGATTCGCCTCGTCAGCAGCCTTTTGTCGGCTCTCTACACTTGATTTCCTACTGTCATGCCATTGTTGATGCTGTTTCTATAACTTGATTATCACAATGGCAGGCCTCCAGAGTCGCTCCGCCATGACTCTTCCCTCCTCCCTCTCCGCAGCTTTTCGCAACCTCTCGTTATCAGTCCCGAAGCGCTCGTTCTCTACGACATTGGCTGCGCAAAAAACAAAGCAATTACCGGATTATATTCCTCCTTATCCCTATGGACCCAACTACATTTTCAAGCAATCGAACTCCGGTCTCTATGGTGGGGCTATGATCCAGTTCGGAAACAAGATCTCGAAGGGCCGCAACGAGGGTAAAACCCGACGGTTCTGGAAGCCCAACGTCAGGCGGAAGAAGCTCTGGAGTGAAGCCCTCGGAGAGTACCTCTATATCAAAGTTACGCGAAAGGCTCTGCGAACAATCTGGAAGTCTGGCGGTCTCGACAACTACCTTCTGGACGACCGGCCCGGCCGTATCAAGGAACTGGGTATCTTCGGCTGGGAGTTACGATGGAAAGTGATGCAGACACCTAAGATCCAAGAGCAATTCCGCCAAGAAAGAAAACGCCTTGGCCTCCCCGAGCCACCGTCGTTCGAGGAGTGGGTAAAGCAGAAGGAGGCAGAAGTCAAAGCCAAGGTGGAGGAAGAGACCAACATCAAGGAAGTTACGAAACCAACATACAACGAGAAACAGTACTAGGGGAATAAAAGATGTGACAGGAGTTTTCTGATCAGCATACCATCGACGGTCGATTCGTTTTTCTATTCTGTTGACCAAGGACTGGGCGTCATGTACTATTATCTTCGACTATTTTCTGGAATTCAATGTACACCACTTCAGACAAGAATCGCTGGCCAGGAGTCAGGAAAACCGCCCATTCCTCGTCTAACCCTCATGTATCATATCTGCTATACAACATTGCTTGAGGTATCCAATAGATATGCCGCCTTACTCGGGAGCACAATGTCAAATGTTCGTTCCGGATAGCTCATAGGTCTGTGAAGATAGACGTTAGAAGCATGAATCACCCATTTGCGACGAATCGAGAAGTATCACTGATTCTGCTGAAGGTCTTCTGTTTCATTGAAGTACTTGGACGCCCTTATCTCAGGTAACCCACATTCCGTCTGGCGAGACTTCCTGTGAGTCCAGATCGTTGATTGGAATGTGCCATATACAAGGGTCGGGCCAACGATGATCCGCCGCTCATTTCCGGATTCGGCAGATTGGCCGCCTCCAGGTACGACAGTTCAATCTATACAGCTCGTCCGGTTTGGCTTGCCGATATTACTCCAACCATGTCCTGATAGGAGGCATCTTCGGATCATACAGAGTCGCCCAGCAAGAGTCGCTGGGGACAAAGTCAGCTCGTCATGCAGTTTGCTCTACCCCCTCGGAGGAGTCCTCATACTTCTTCCCACACCCGCTCCTCCAAGCTTTCTTTACAACGCAAGAAACAGCTCAAGGCCGCTGCAATTCTAGGCTTTGCTATCCTCACCTTCTTCTTCCTTTTATCACACTTCTCCCATTCGAGTACAGCGTCGATATCTGCCACCTCGGGGGCTTCAAGCATTGTCATTGTGACGGTTCTAGATCGGGCCCGTTTCAGCGATAACTACATCCAGAAGATCATCAAGAACAGAGAGCATTATGCTAGTCGACATGGTAAGTGAACTACTTACGGTGCATCAGCTCTACTTTCATGACCGACTGATCCTTTTCAAAATGCAGGCTATACGAATTTCTTTGCAACTCTGTCTGATTACGAATCCGCGCTGGACAACGCCCCACGGAGCTGGGCAATAGTCCCAGCGATGCGCCATGCAATGGCATCGCACCCTCATTCAGCTTATTTCTTCCACCTCGATGCTCATACCCTGATCATGAACCCTAGAAAACCGTTAGAGTCTCATATTCTCGACAAGAATCGCCTTCAATCGTTGATGCTTAAGGACGTTCCCGTTGTGCCGCCGGATAGCATCATCAAGACCTTCTCGCACCTGAAGCCAGAGGATGTCGACCTAATAATCAGCAGGGATAACGAGGACTTGAACCCCGGAAGCTTTGTGCTTCGACAGGGCGACTTTGCGCGATTCTTCCTTGATATGTGGTTTGATCCTCTGTATCGGAAGTACAACTTTCAGAAAGCGGAGATGCACGCTTTGGTATGTTTCCATACTCGCTTTCTAAATGGCCGGTGATGATCGTACTGACAATTTCCCCTCTTTTACTAGGATCATATAGTGCAATGGCATCCGACTGTCCTCGCGAGAATGGCGCTTGTTCCTCAACGAAGCATTAATGCTTACAGCAAAGATTCCCCTGCTGCTTCGGCCGACGGCACTTACAAGGACGGAGATTTGATTATTCGGTTTTTTGGATGCGATTCCGATCCTAAGCGCAGTTGTGAGCAAGAGATGGAACCGTACTACAACCTGTGGGCGAAGAAGTTGAAGAGTACATAAGCAGCTCCCCTTCTCCTGAATTGATCATCCTGATATTTGGCGAGTCACTTTATATTTATCTTCTATTATAGAGCGGTGTTCATGGGTCTGGATGGAGCTCTCATCTCAAACTTTGGAATTAGTTGAATAATGGGATTATATGCTGAGACTTCTCTTTTTCATCACTCCTTATTTCTAGGAACCCTTTGGAGTAAGGCTTATAGGAGTTTGCCAGCTTCTAATGTAGAGTACATGTCCTCTCGGAAACTGCTGCAAGTGGAAATATGACGTGCATAGAAGTAATTTCACCAGCAAGCACACTCTTTATTGCGTGTAGCGTCACAGCAACCCTGTCAGCTGGCAAGTGTCTCACTGGATGCTTCGTGACATGGCCATATTCCTGCGGGAATGGCTGGCTTTCCATACGCAGGTTGGCCGAATCACCGAACATACTTAGAAGATTCCGGGAATTATGACAAACCTCTTGCGCTTGTACTTGTCACCGAACTCTTTGCGATAGCGGCGTTCCTTCTTGGCGGCCCAGCTAGCCATTATAGAACCTCCAATCGTGATGAAGAACAAGACACTCCAACTCATTCCGCTGACCAGATAGACGCCAATCCAGGCAATGATCTCGAACAAGTAATTGGGGCACGTCACAAGGTTGAATCCGAAGCCGGTTGGGATGCCCCTCTCGGTAGTACCGGGTCGACGCAGGTCGCGAAGCACCAGGTGGGTATTCAAGTTGGCCAGCTCGCCGAAGACGAAAAGCGCAAGACCACTGTAGAGGAGGGCTGGGTTGGTTTTGTTGGTAGCAGCTGCCGCGTCGGGGCGGAATACCCAGTATGCGATGTTGAAGCCGGCAAGAACCCAGTAGTGAGCGCTGTTCCTGAAGATGTGGCGGACGGGCATAGTGGCATTGCTGAAACGGTGGACAAAGAGAGTCTCGAGCTCTCGTTTGACGAAGTGCACAGTTAAAAGCCCGCAGATCAGTAGCTGCAGGTCGGAAGGTTCGGGTAGAGGCTTATCGAAGTTGTAGTAGATATATGGCCGGAGAGGGAACAAAAACAGAGGATGGATGAGAAGAGGTCCCAGGTACTCGATAATGAAGACTGTGCGCCATGCAATCTGGGGGCCTAAGAAGTGTGCAAAATCCTGTGTTAGTTCTCACCGTGATTGGAGAGTATAGCTGGATCGAAATTCCAACATACCCAGATCCTTGACATGAACTACACTCTGATCCCTAAGACCAATATCATTGGCACTCATGCCTTTTGAATTGGGGACAACTGTTCGGTCGCTTCCCTTGGTGATCCTCAAACGGTGGATGGAGAAACCCGAAGCTTCCGCGAGTGAGCTATAGATTTCTTGCGTAGAAGCATTGGGACCAATCTGAAGTTCCTTTGGAAGCTTCCTAATGGGTTTTCCTGTAACAAAAGGAATCAGTGCGCTGCAAATGCTTAGATCGAGGAAGGACGAAGATATTCAAATGGAAGCGTACCCCGGGGTTGAACGACCAACGTGATTGTCGACGCCATTGGAATTGAACGCGATCGCACTCCTTTCTAATCTCGCAATAGCGTGTGCCCGTAAACTTGGTCGAAAGTGAAGCCAACACACTCCGCAACAACAAGAGCGAGGAGATGATGGTCGAGATTCTACTGTCTGCAGTCTTGCTGATCCGCAACATACCTCAGGCTAACAAAACAACTAGATCCATAATTCAGGCACCTCGGCACGTCTCAGATCACGTGATAGTAGTGGTTGAGGACATGTTTCAGAGGAACTTGTAGCACTTTCCCATATGCACGGTCCACTTGAGACTGAGTTGGGAGTCCAGGGAACACGATGCTGCTTTGTACCACATTGAGAATACTTCGTATTCTTAGACTACAATTGAAAAGAATGACTGTGGTGGGTGACAGGTCGGGGGTGTGCATGCATTCAATCAACAGCAGTGAGAAGAGAATGTTTACATTATGGAGATAATGTTATGATTAAATGCAGACTCCAACATATACCAACCTGTCAGAACAGATGGGGACACACTAATTGGACTCAGTCAGCCATCATAGCACCAAGAAGCGCCTTGGCCCTTGCTCGATGTCAGCCTGTCAGCCGGCCTTCTCCGTTGCCTATCGAGTTTCAGGATATGAATTATGTACTAACTGATACGCGAACCACCATCTACTGCTGTCAGGCTGTACGAAGTACTCCGGATTAAACGACTCAGCCAGCCTTTTTCTTACCGGACTATTTAGCGGCAATTTAGCTTGCATAAGGGTCCCACTGTCGTCGCCTACAATCACCATTCCTTCTGAACCAACCTTAAGTGGCTTGAATGTAGAAACTGTTATTTCCATCTATCCAGAAGAAACTGTCGCCTTGATACAGCGTTCGTGATTGGAAATCATGAGCAGCCTATCGGCTGCGTCACGACTCAAGAGCGGCCGGGGATCGGGATCTGGAATCTTGAATTGACCTATGAACGTCTGACAATATGATTGCGCATTTGCCAACCAAGGTGTTGGTAGACTGGTAACCCACCATTCGCAGATCAACCGGGTTGTCTTTCCTCGATGAGACATGTTCTCAGCTTTGTAAGAACTCCAGCAGCAGTAGTTGACGGAACTGGTCAACTCCTCGCGGGATCTTCATCATTTGACGAACGAACGCTATCATGAATTCAGGATATATTGCATTTGATGTGGACTGCATATGCATCCTTCATAGGAGTATGCTCCATGCTTTACTGATAACTATTTAATTATCTAGTTTTTCAGCTCCCCACACCGTTGCCATCAGCCATGTTCTGGCCTGTTTCTCAGCCATGGGCAATGTCCCCAGCTGACAGCCAAACTAAGTTGGTCTTATTGTGCATGCACGAATCAAATGGCCATATCGCGCACACTCGCCTGTGGGGCATTCTTCGCCCGGAGCGATGGCTGTGGTGGTGATGATGGGTATGGGGATGATTATTGCTGACTCCGTCGGCATGGGCAAAGCTCCTTCAGCCGCACTCGTTTCTCGCTGCTGCAGCCGCATGAGGTACTCCAATGTCCAGGCGCAATTATTCGTACTTAATGGGACGTTGGTCCCGAGAGGCCTCGTTTTCTTTCTCGATTTCCTTCCAGCCCACTGGCCCACCGATGGTTCCTAATCGCTAAGCAAAGCTATTGCCTCTGTATCCTTGTTTGGCTGTACTATTTGTATATCTAGTGTGATTTCGCTTTGCATGCCACATATATCCTCGAATCTGATATTTAGCAAATTGGTGAGTCGCGATGATGTCCCACAAGCACAGCGCATGGTGGATGTATCGGATGCTGCAGGCCTCTTATATGCCTGTCCTTCTCGCAAAGGTGCCCAGTGCTGATGTGACTTAGTAGTGCATTTGTATTTCAACCCAACCACTTTTGTTTTGCACACTATATCCGCCATGTCTGAGAAGCAAACCGGTTCAGCCAATGGTGGACTTGGAAAGACCCTGGCTCAGCTCGAGCAGGTTGTCTCAGCGTCGCTGCGGCCTCTGCCTAGCCAAACAGGCGATGGCACCTATGTCACGGAGCAAGTGAAGACAGGCATTCTCAAAGATCTTCCCCACGTTGACCTGGGCGATCTGAAGACTCTCGTGGATGTCTCGAAGAGTGCCTTGACAGGAGAGGCTTTGGACGACAGGAAGTATATCATGGAGCGAGTTGTCCAGGTCAGTTCATCCGCGCATGTTAATGGCGAATTGGATTATTGATTCTGACTACATGCTAGCTCGCCGCTGGCTTACCCTCAACGTCCCAGATTGGTAAAGAATTGACGAATACCTTTTTGACCACTCTGTGGAATGACTTGGAGCACCCACCAATCTCGTATGTGGATTTTCATGAAGTAACCTTCTCTGACTTACTTCTGACCGCACGAGCAGCTATCTTGGCCGTGATGCAATGTACCGAAGAGCGGATGGCTCTGGCAATGTAGGGCTCAATGACATCTGCTGTTAGAATGCTTGCTGACCGCTGGAACAGAACGTGCTTTGGCCACATATTGGTGCGGCTGGGACTCCGTATGCAAGATCTGTACGGCCCAAAACCACGCAGTCTCCGAACCTACCAGATCCCGAAACTCTTTTTGATTGCCTTTTAGCACGAAAAGAGTACAAAGAACATCCCAATAAAATATCTAGTGTATTGTTCTACATTGCATCCATCATTATCCATGGTAAGTCTTGGCAAATGAAGGGCCAACAATGGGACTGACAAATATACCCAGATCTATTCCAGACGGATCGTAAAGATCCAGCAATCAGCCTCACTTCTTCGTACTTGGATCTATCACCTTTGTATGGCAACAATCAAGAAGAACAGAACCGCGTCAGGACGTTCAAGGACGGTAAGCTCAAGCCAGACTGTTTCTCAACAAAACGCGTTCTGGGATTCCCTCCGGGCGTTGGCGTAGTCTTGATGATGTTCAATCGTTTCCATAACTACGTGGTTGAGAAGCTTGCAATGATCAACGAGGGAGGCCGGTTTACAAAGCCGCAAGAGTCCGACACCGCAGCATATGCGAAATATGACAACGATCTTTTCCAAACCGGTCGACTTGTGACATGCGGTCTCTACGTCAACATCATTCTGAAGGATTATGTTCGCACTATTTTGAATATTAACAGAACAAACAGCATCTGGAGCTTGGACCCCCGCTCTGAAATGAAGGACGGATTACTTGGCAGCGCAGCTGCTCGAGCGACTGGTAATCAAGTTGCTGCTGAGTTTAACCTTGTGTACCGCTGGCATTCTTGTATCTCCCAGCGAGATCAAAAATGGACTGAAGATATGTACCAAGAATTGTTCCCTGGGCAGGATCCCAGCAACATCTCCCTGCAGGACTTCTTGCGAGGACTTGGTCGATGGGAGGCTAAGCTACCAGAAGAGCCTCAGGAGCGTCCGTTTGCTGGACTGCAGCGCAAGGCAGATGGGTCGTATGACGACGATGATTTAGTCAAAATTTTCGAGGAAAGCGTTGAGGAC